TGAGGAGATTTTTTCTCTTGTGGTGAAAATGACCTCGGTCCGAACCGTGTTAGCCATGGCGGCTTTGATGGACCTTGAGGTAGAACCAATGGACGTGAAGACGGCATTTCTTCACGGTGATTTAGAAGAAGAGATATATATGGAGCAACCAGAAGGGTTCCAAGCTTCATACCAAGAAGACTTGGTATGTCGGTTGAAGAAGAGTCTCTATGACTTGAAGAAAGCACCTCGGCAGTGGTACAAGAAGTTTGAATCATTCATGACTGGTCATAAGTTTGAGAAGACTGAACCCGACCACTGCATATTTGTGAAGAGGTATGAGGCCAGAGATTTTCTGATTATGTTGTTATATGTCGACGACATGCTTATTGTAGGGAAAGACAAATCGAGGATAGTCGCCCTGAAAAAGGCGTTGAGCTCGTCCTTCGCAATGAAGGACCTCAGCCCTGCAAAGCAGATTCTCGGAATAAAGATTATCCGAGATAGACAGAAGAAGCTACTGTGGCTGAGTCAAGAGAAATATATTGAGAAGATTCTTAAGAGATTTAGCATGGACAAAGCCAAAACAGTGAGCACCCCCCTTGCCGGACACATAAAGCTGAACCAGAAGCAATGTCCGAGATCTGATGAAGACAAAGATGAGATGATGAAGGTCCCTTACCAATCCGCCGTCGGAAGCTTGATGTATGCAATGGTTTGCACTAGACCCGACTTGGCGTATGCTGTTGGAATGGTAAGCCGGTATTTGTCAAACCCCGACAAAGAGCAGTGGGAAGCAGTGAAGTGGATCTTCAAGTACCTCCGAGGTACGACCGACTTATGTCTCCGATTTGGAAAAGGCAAAGCGGAGTTGCAAGGCTACTCGGAATCTGATTTAGGGGGAGACGCCGACTCGAGGAAGTCGACTACAGGATATTTGATGAGATTTGCCGGAGGAGCTGTCTCTTGGCAATCAAGACTTCAGAAATGTGTTGCACTATCGACAACTGAGGCTGAGTACATTGCCGCTACTGAGGAAAGCAAAGAGATGCTGTGGATGAAGATGTTCCTCATGGAACTCGGCCATGATCAAGACAAGTACGAGCTGGGTTGTGACAATCAAAGCGCAATCCATCTTGCGAAGAATTCGACCTATCACTCCCGCACTAAGCATATTGATGTGAGGTATCACTAGATCCGGGATGTGGTGGAAGGTGGAGAGCTCGAACTCGTCAAAGTGCACACTGACCAAAATTGGTCCGACATGATGACAAAGCCGGTTCCAGCAAGAAAATTTGAAGACTGCTGTGAAGGAGCCGGGTTGATGCTAAAGCCGATGCATTGAAGTCGGAGGGGGAGATTTGTTGGGCTTCCTCCTTCAATGCTAAGCCCAAGCCCATTTGAGGGGTTTCCTAAAAACACTAACCCTAATTTCCACCTCCTCTATATATACTCATTAGTTGTGGGTGGAGGCTAGGTTAAGAAATTTGAGAGAATTATTTGATTGTTTGAGCAAAGCTTTATGCTTTGCATTTGAGAGATCTCTAGAGAGAGTTTGAGTGAAACATCTCTAGGGTAGTTTGATTATCATCATTGTTGGAGAGGTTGAGTTAACCATCACATTTGTGTATTTGATTCTTTGTAACCATTATTTTCATAGTGGATTTTTTGATCTGTACTGGGTCCCGTGGGTTTTTAATTCTTCATTGAAGAAGGTTTTTCCACATTAAATCTGGTTGTGTTCTTCTTCTCGCTCTCCTGTTTTCGTTTTGATTTTCCGCTGCGCTGCCCGACCTGGTGAAGTTCAGGCTGAGGTATTGCCGAGATTCGAGATCAGGATCTTGCTGACTGACTTCCGCAAAAGGCCCCTGAGCCGATCTGAGGGAACCGAGTTCCCAACAGCATATGACACAAACAGTGGATGAAACCTTTTTTTTTTTTCTTTTTCCCTCTTCTTCTTAGTGAGTTTCATTCATTTTTTGTCTTACGTAAGATAAATTATCTCATATAAATTTATCTTATGCAACATAACAAACATGTTCTCCATACTTATATTTTCTAAACAATTGAACAAAATATAACATTTTGTGATGTATTATTCCCTTTTTTTCAACAGATGAAAAGCAGTGATAATTTTTATGTTTGTCTCACTAAGACTTTTTCCGGATATTCCATTTCCCCATAAGCATTAACATCGGACTAAGTCGGATCACACACTAAAATCTCGTCACACCTTAAATTTGCTCCATAAGTTGCACTAAGATTTCTTGATATTTATTCCCCAAGATGGTAACAACATGCCTTCTTCAAACAAATAAATAAAGAAAGAAAGTCTTTTTGGTCGATTCGGTAACGCAATCAACCCAAAATTCCTGTCACGGCACTTGTGTGTGTCTCTAATTGCGCTACGAACACTACTCGCATCTTCCATCCCATAAATTCAGTTAGCATCGTATAAGACCACAAAATTGTGGTCAACACACCCAATTTACGCGCAAAGAATTTAACCAAGGATTGCGCTTCTCCAAACTTCAAGGGGCACCACTACCGAAACGGTCCATCGAGAATATAAGTATAACACTACACAACCTTATTCTTTTTTATTTATTTTTTGAGTGCATGTTACTAGCTCAAAAGAAATACTTCGCATAAATGCATCGTATCATCAATTAATATTCTTTTTACATTTCAAGAAAATTATCATTTTTTAAATTTATTTTATTTTAAATTATTTATCATTCTTAAAAATCTAACAAAATGTTAATATTTTATAAAAAAAATTGTTTTTGTATTTTCACTAATAATAAGAATGAGAGAGAAATTAATGTAATAAAAATATAATTAATAACTTTTTATCTAATTTACATGCAAAATTTCAAACAAAATTTATTTATTAAAATAAATAATTATTATAATTAACTCAATTTATACAAGGAAAAAAAGTTTCTGATATTACTTTAGACAACTTTATCTAATATTCATCGAAACGACGTCGTTTTGAAGTTGAAAAATTAAAAAATTAGAATGATAAAGACTATTATAACCCTAAAATAAATTAAAATTACAAAAACACTATGATTTCCGTTCCAAAACGACGTCGTTTCGATGACCATTAGATAAAGTTATCTCAAGTAACTTTAGAAAAATAAACCTTTGTACAAATAAAAAATATTTTAGATTCATTCATGTTAGTTACAAACATGACAATTTTATGTTATGTGAAACAATAAAGTAATTATAAGAAGACCTATCATTATTTGTGAAAAATTTTATTGGTTTGACTTTTGTGTCTTTAAATGATAACATCACATTGTCAACAAATAATATGAAATAATTCAAATCCAACAAAACGGGAAAATTTAAAGTGAATTTAGGTGGTGTTTGGTTGGGAGCTTTTCAGCAGATATCTATCTTTCTCAAGTGAGGCTTTTAGAAACACCATGTTTGTTTCAACGTTTTTCACCAAAAAATCATCTATCCAATTTGTCTGGATTTATGAGAAACATAGATATCCGCACTGTTTAGAAACCTAATTTGAAGGTGGGATTTTTCGGAAAACCGGTTATCTGGCTTTTAATGCACTGTTGATTTCATAAAGTTACCTAATTTTACCAGTAAAGTTTTTTCCCACCAAACAACTTTTTTTTACATTTTTCTATCTATCTCACTTTATCTATCTTTCCAATCATTTCTCTATCTATCTTATTTTTCTACTATTTCAAAAAATTATCCTGAACCAAACGCTCCCTTAGGAAATCCGAGAAACCGAAAAACCGTACTACTAGTAGTATCACAACAACCTCGAGTTAAAAAAAAAAAGTACTATTACAACCTACCTAGTATTGCATATGGGCATTGATTGTACTATCCTCTTTTTTGAGCAATTATTTAGCGCTCCCGGCTCACGTGAGACCGGTAGAAACAAAAGTGAAGAGAGAGAAAAAAAGAGAGGAGAGAGAAAGTAAGAAAGGAGAGAGAGAAAGGGACCATCAAATTATTTTCCCTCTTTTTTAGTATAATATACCTGATTGTCGTGGTGTCCAAATTTTTTTTAAACTACCATGGCATCATAGTTGCTGAAGTATCTAATTACTAAGGACGAGACATGTGCCACGTTTGGAGACCTGGTTGCACCAAAGTAAACGTGTGTCACTCAGTTGACCACAATAGCTACCTTTCTCAGCGAATTTGATCCCATAAGTCTGCCAAGACAGACAGTAGCCCATAATTACTAGCCCATAGTCGTTGCACAACACAGCTACTTTGGTCAAATGAGTGACACGCGGCTCATTCTCCCCAAAGTCGTTGGCTCATTCTCCCCAAAGTCGTTATATAATATAGCTACTTTGGTGTAATCACACGTCTAAGACTTTTCCGACAACCGGAAACGTGACACGTGTTTTGTCCATAATAGTTAGGTATCTCAACGACTACGGTGCGGTTGCCGTTTGAAAAAAAATTTATACTCCCTAAGATTAAGATATATTATACTGAAAAAGAGAATAATACATTCAATGCGCTTGCATATCATCCCCTTTGGCCCTTTCACAATGCAAACCCATAATGAACCATCCTAAGATGACGATTTCGTTAAAATTACATGATGAAAAGAAAAGTTTTCAATTAAATTATTTTAATTACTTGAGAATTTTATTAAATTTATTTACTTTTAGAAAAATATAATCATATTTAATGAATACATTAACTAATGACCCCTCTCACAAGAAATATCTTCTATCTTAATCTTTATAAATTTAATTTTAATATGTTGTTAGTATATAATAGCGTGAATTATATTTAAAACAGTGTTAAAACCAATTACATTACCATATAATGATATGTTTATTGTTTAACAATATCAAGTTGATTTCGTTATGTTACAGTTATAACGCGGAGATGTTTATTAAAATTAAAATATTGTTCATTGTAACAAATGCCAAAGAGAAAAAAAAACTTGGGCAAAAACATAATGATTCGCTGTGGTTGCAACTAATCAAAATCAAAACTTCTTAACTAAGAAATTTTCAACCTAAACATAAAAATCATTGCAACAATAAAAATTTGTTACACTAGGAAGTTGATAGTCTACAAGACAGATATCAACATAGAGATTACGATGCCAAATTGCAAAAACAGAAGGCAGAGGATCTGTCTTGCTTCTTACTTACATACGTTGCTAAACCACGAAGAAATTAAAAAAGGTAAAATTTAACAGACAACCTCGACGACAACCAACAACATAAAAATGACAAGGGAACACTAAAGGACGAAACTCAAGCACAGCAATAAGAGCGTTGGTCGTCTTCTCCACCAGCTGAATCAGCAACAGTAGCATTGATGTTATCACTAGAGCAGTAGTAAAAACCATTGTCACTTATGGCATTCAAGTAACAAGATGAGGATGGAATCAGATACGGCATGTTGTCGAAGGTTCGGGCTAGGCTAGCTGCCAGCGCCGCAGCGTTTAGCACACTAGTGTTTTCATCCTCATTTTGTTGTCCACAAAACTCTTGTGCACGGTGCTTGAGCGTCTCAAACATGAGCTGAGGCTCGTGCTGCATCACTCGGAGGACATCCCCACACGACGGCCCTGGCATTGCACGTGTTACCGCGAAGCCATGCGGGCCTTCACTCTGTAGCACCCTTACAACGCTGGGTGCACCAAACAAGTTGTGGACACCACCTAGCGCCTCCTCATAAGCCCCACCCAAGAACATTCCCAGGTAATACCCGCCACCATTATGGCCTTCCAATTCATGGAGGGGCAAGCTCAATTCACCCCCAATGAACTTATCTATCTTCCCATCACTGTCACAAGTCAAATCTGACAAAACTCCCCTCACTGTTGGCCTCTCATCCAGACGATGAATGGGGACTATGGGAAACATCTGATCTATGCTCCAAAAATCAGGATACGAGGTGAACACAGAAAGGTTCACATAGTATGTTCGAACTGGATCTTTTGCATGAATAGCCTTAGTCACCAATTCACACAAACCATCAACAGCGGCAAGTTGCTCAATCCCCAAATTACCTTGCTTGAATTCTTCAACACATCGTTGTTTGAATCGATCGGCACAGAGCAAGCAGGTTTCATAGTCACCTCCAATGGCTGAAGCAGATATATTCTGATAATCTGCACAAGCATCTTCGGAGAGCCCCTCCCCCAAACACTGCAATCCAAGGGTGGACAATGCTGGTGCTCTATTTGCACTAGCAGCACCAATGGCCTCAAAAATCAAGACAGAATGATGAGACACAATGGCTCTGCCACTCTCGCTACAAATGACAGGGTGCTTGATGTTCCTGCGATCGCAGACATACTTAACTGCCTGAACAACAGCTGCAGCATACTCTTGTAGATCATATCCAACAGATAGGTCAGATTCACTCGACTTTGAACCATCATAATCAATGCCCAAACCACCACCAATATCAATAACTCGCATATTGGCACCCAGTCGAACCAATTCACAATATATCTGCGCAGCCTCTAACACACCATCAGCGAGCAATGCAGTGGAAGGAATTTGAGAACCAATATGAAAATGCAGCAATTGAAGGCAATCAAGCATGCCCATTTGTTCAAGCTTCTTCACAATACGCAAAACCTGAGTAGTTGTCAAACCGAACTTCCCTTTATCCCCTGAAGTGGACCCAAAGTGGCCAGAATGTTTCGTCCTCAGCTTCGCACGAACACCAATCACAGGACGAATGCAGAGCTTCTTGCTAATGTCAATGACCAAATCAAGCTCTTCCTCTTGCTCAAGAACAATCACCGTATTCAACGCTAGCTTCCTCGCAACCAAAGCCAGCGAAATATACTCACAGTCTTTGAACCCGTTGCAAACCAGAAGAGCTTCTCTGTTGCCTTTGCACAAACAGCTCATAGCCAGAAGCATCTCGGGCTTCGACCCTGCCTCCAACCCGAACCGAAACCGAGACCCGAATTCCACTATGTCCTCCACAACGAACCGATCCTGGTTGCACTTCACAGGGTAAACACCTTGGTAATAAGACTCGTACCCCTGCGATTGGATCGCGCACTCGAAAGCAGATTGTAGGGACTCGACCCGGTTCTTCAGAACATCAGGGAACCGAACAATGAGAGGAAGCTGCAACCCGAGTCCGCCACTTGATTTCGGGTCCGAAGCTTTCTTCACAACCTTCAACAAATCAATCTCCTCGTGAGGAAAGGTCCCCGACCCGTGAGGTTTGACGGAGACATTCCCGGCGGAGTTGACGGCGAAGTAGGGACCACCCCAACCGTCGACCCTGTAGAGGCTGGCAGACAGAGAGGGTGACCAACGGGAATCATCATCAACGGAAGCAGCGTCATCGGTTGTCGCCGGAGATACGCCGGGAAACGAGACCGGCGGCGGAAGAGAAGCGTCACCGGCTAGAGCGTAGAATGGAGGAGCAAGTGCAGCAGCATCCACGCAACAAGCGAAGGATGACATCACTTCCGCTTTACAAAAATTAGAAGAAAAAAAAAATTAGGGTTTCGGAAAACAGGTTTGTGTAAAAGTAGGGGGTTTTGAAACCCGCCGAGGCCGAGGCCCCGGCTACCCCCTCACAAGAGAAACAGTGAAAGATCTATTGAAAACGGAGAACCACCCTTTCGCTCCCACACCTCAGAATAATGATTTAATTTTAAGCACGGTGGTGGTTATGTTTATGTTTATGTTTATGTTATCTGAGATGGGAACGGCAAGGAGTGGAAACCTAGGTTAACACCACCACCACGCGAATCAGGGGAAATAAAACAGAACGGATAAAATTTCAGAAAACAGGGAAGATCCGAACGAGTCAAGTAAAACGGAAATGCAGAAAGATGGGGAGAAAATAACGGGAGAAAAAGAAGGATGAAGGAGAATAACGGAAACGGGTGTTATGAGGTTGGCTCAAACAAGACGTGTGTTATGTTAAGGTAGCTGGAAGTGAGCGAAGATTGCATGGCAGGAGAGGCCAATTTATATAACGAGAGGAGGTTGAGGGAAGAAGCCAGAAGTGGGCTTAATTGGGCCTCGACTCGGATCTTAAATTCAAATTATCATCTTTTTCTCATTTTTTTGAAGAAAAAAATAAATAATGATAATATGGGGTTTGATTTTTTTATGTTACATGAGAATTGAATTTTCATGTCGAGACTCAACTAGTGGTGAACTTCACATTTATTAAAAATAAAAAAATAAAAAAATTTGCACACAAATCGAAAGATCACAACATGATAATTAAGTTCTCATGTAACGTGATAAAATATTTTTCCAATAATAATTGTTCTCGATCTTACGTTTCTGTTTACTAATGATTATTGACTAATCAGCGGCGAGTTGCCGCGTGGCTTTTGTACCATGGGACCATTTCTTTTAGTTGAGAATCTGTCCCGGAAAAGTGAAAACCTTCTCAGATACATTTAATCGCGATTCCAGTTTATTTGGCGATATTATAAATAGAGAGGTTAGGTAGGGAGTATATCTCGCGAGAATTTAAGATCACATTTTGTTGAAGGAAACCAGTAGGAAGTTTCGCTGTTTTGTGGGATCGTTATGAAGTATGAACTGCTTTGATTGACAGACGTCAGCATGCGATAAGTCAGTTAAAGCTGAGGAATTTTATCGTTTTATGTTACTACTAAGCATGGAGTGGTTTTTCATTTATGTGTTAATTAATATGATTATATTATTTAAAAAAAATTATAATAAATTGATCAATAATAATAAAAAAAGAGAGAATTTTTTCTTTTAAGATAAATATTTATAATATTATTATCGTTAACTCACTTTTAAATGATTAATGTTTTTCCATATTACATTATCATATTAAACTAGCACACAATACATTGCATACTGACCGTGTTACGCTGTCTCAACCCTAAACACGTTTTCGTTATGTTTAAAAGATTGTATTGTAACTTACCAAACAAACAAGATTGTTTTATAAACAATTAATAGATATTAAGTAAGAAATTTTTTTGGATATAATGATAGGTTCGTTTTTTTGCCGTTACTGCAGATAAGTTATCTGCAGTAAGTCTAATACGACATCGTTTTTGGACGAAAATTATTGTACTTTTGTAATTTTAATTTATTTTAGGGTTATAATAGTCTTTTATTTATAATTTTTTAAGATTTCAATACTAAAATGACGTCGTTTTGGGAATAAATGCAGATAACTTATCTGCATTAACTGCATAAATATTTTTGGGTTTGTTTTTTCTAAAGTTACTTTAGATAACTTTATTTAATGTTCACCTAAACGACGTCGTTTTGGGGCGGAAATCATGGTGTATTTATAATTTTAATTTATTTCAGAGTTATAATAGTCTTTAACATTTTAATTTTTTGATTTTTCAATCCCAAAACGACGTAGTTTTGGTGAACATTAGACAAAGTTGTCTAAAGTAACATTAAAAACTTTTTTCCCAATATTTTTTCCTATAATTATTATGTTAAATAAAAAAATTAATTTCATACAGTTCTTTCCCAACGAAGAAATGATACTTTTATTATTATTTTTAATCATAAAATTTTATTTATTTTATTTTTATTTTGATATTTTAGACTTAATTAATAATAGACACTACTATATATATATATATATATATATATATATATATATATATATATATATATACGTATATGTATTTTTTATATAAAAAATTCCTTATTTTTATTTCAGCTTTGGCAACCATTCGCCATTTTTTGTCAACACATTTACAATTTACAATTTACTGCATCACATTTTAGTATGAATGTTTAATTTAAAAAAAAATAAAAAATTAATGAGAAAATATTTTACAGAAACTCACCTGTAAGATAATAATTAACAAAGGGTGCACCGGGTGTGAGACAACTTATGAGAGTTTGTGTAGAGGGTCGAATGGTCAATTGTGGGGAGGTTTCGCTTATATAGTAGGACACACACAGCTGACATAGAAGAGCTTGGGGTGGCGTTAAGGGTTTAGAGTATTTTTAGGATCCTAATTATTATTATTTTGAAGCGAATTAGATTTTTTCAATGTTTTTATGGGTTTGATTATTTGTGTAGCCTATGAGATTAATCCAAAACTCATGGCCCTGATCTAGAATTATATCTTGTTGGTGCTCTATAAGGTTCAGTTCTTCTGGGATTGACATAATCTGAAGCATTGCAAGTTTTCTTGGGATGAAAACAGTTTCATTTAAGAGATAAGTGACAAAATTATTTTTATCTTGTAATCAAATAATATAAAAATACTACTTTAAGTAATATTTATTAAAATTAAGTCTATATTCATGTAAAGATTAATTGCCTAGACAAACATTAATTATATTTATTAAACTAAGTTATTGTGGTATTAATCATTAGATAGATGTATGGTTAATATAGTTTTGATATAGTTAAATAAAATGGAATTTTTTTTTCTTTTTAAGAAATTATAGTTTTCATAACCACAGTCCTTTTCCCCCATTTTGAATAGCTTTAATAAATCTGAAATTTTTTTATTGCATACATCTTAAAATACAAATTTTTAAATTAAAAAATAATCTTAATATATAAAATCTTCATCCATTATTTGAAAAGTTTGCTGACGTGTCATTCTTTTCTTCAATATTCACTTTGTGTTCATACGTGAAATCACTTTAAATGTTTTTTTTTTCTTTTAGTAACTTTTTAAATTCGAATTTAAACCAAATAGGTGGGAAAAGAGTTCAAACTTCTTTGATTGCAAACAGATGTATTATTATCCCACTACTTTCTGCATGGATAATGGTTAAGCCTATTAATAATGACAAAATCATTTCTCATGTTATTGTAAGGGAAATTTTTTTGCATAAACCAATTACAACTATGTACTAGAAGTAGTACATAGTTGTAATTTTAAAAGCTATTTTTTTCTCTTCTCAAAAGGCTATCGATTGACGAGGCATAGAGAAAAATTAATTTTAATATTACAACTATGTACTATCCCTAGTACATAGTTGTAATTGGTTGCATAAGAGGAAATTTTTTTGTAGCAACATAAGAAGTTGGGGACCCATTAATAATACTATTACTTTCTCGATCGAAAATTGTTAAGCCTATTAATAATATTTATTATTAAGTTTAAAAAACCTTATTAGTTCGTGTATAAATAGGATGTGTTACTGCATATTTTTCATTAGTAATCAATTTTTGTGCACATATTTCTTTTGTTTCTGTCTGTTATTCATATTCTCAAGCCTGCATTATCTAATATATCATTCATTTTTTTTAAATTGCAGGTGATTGCAGCAACAAACCGTGCAGATATTCTTCAAACTCCATCTATTGAATTTTTTTTTCTGATGGAACATTTGCTTACTTCTTTCAAAGTAATATTATAGATCCATTCTCAGACGATTAAAGTTTTACCCAGATGTCAATTTTGAAGAATTAGCTCAGTCCACAGATGATTTCAACGGAGCGCAACTAAAAGTTGTATGTATTGAGGCTGGCATGTTGGTCCTTTGCCGTAATGCAACTGAGGTTTACTTTCTTCCAGATATGCAACAACTTAATAGTTAAAAATCATGATTAATCTAGCGTGAATTATCGGGTTGTCATTTCAGTCTGAATCTTTCTTTTTCTTTTATTTTTTTTCTCTATTTTTTATTAACATGCTTGCCTTTATTTCAAAAATATTGACAATAGTTTTGTTGTTTTCTTATTCAATTCAATGTCAAAGCTTAGGAGGACCAAGTTAGAAATTTTACTATGAATTTGTCTGCTTATGCGGGAATAATCATTAAATCTAGTTTTTGTCCGATCACAGGTGAACCATGAGGACTTTAATGAAGGTATCATTCAAGTCCAAGCAAAGAGGAAAGCAAACTTGAATTATTATGCATAAGCAGTTAAGGCAATGGAAAACCATCAATGATGTTTGACATTCATTTTACTCGAATCATATGTAACCTATAGCGTGCCAATATCAAATTTTAAAACAATAACCTGGTTCTAAATTTCTTAGAAGTAGCTATATATTTTTTTCTGCTTGCTATTTTAAAATTTGTCAGTGTTGGTCAACGTATTAATTTTTCCTCTCATTGATAACGAGTGTAAGGAAATAGGTACCCATTCTCACAACTAACTTAAAAATAAATATTCTTTGAATGGATGTATAAGGTGTGTAATAAAATTAAAATTTCACCCTTCATGTTTTATAATTAAATTCCTAAATCTGATTTCAAATATTAATTTTTTTGAATTCCACCATTTGCTTTATGTAGCGAATATTTTATCATCCAGAAAGTAGTTGGCTTTTTATATTTTTCGTCAAATTATTGTTGGTAGAGTTGTAGTATTATTGAGATTAAATATGATGCATTAATTATATGTTTATATATATGTTAATTTTGTAAATAATTATTTATACTTATGAAATTAAGCTAATGAATGATCTTTTGATATTATCACTTTTAGTAACTTTTTAAATTTGAATTTTTAACTTGATAGTGGGAATATAATGAAGCATTCATTACAAAATTACAAAACTTTCAAATTTGAATTTTGAACTTGATGGTAGGAAAACAGTTCATCATTCATTACAAATATAAAATTTCACAACTTTCTCCATGGGAAATTGTCAAGCCTATTAATTTCGCCGCAACAAAAAACAAACACATCATTATTTTGTTAGAAGTTTTAATACAAAAAATAAGTTTAAAAATCCACCTTAAAAATGTTGACAATAGTTTTGTGGTTTTTTTATTCAATTCAATGCCAAAGCTTAAGAGAATCAAGTTATAAATTTTACTATGAATCTGTCTGCTTATGTGGGAATAATTATTAAATCTTTTTTTGTCGATCGCAGGTGAACCATGAGGACTTTAATGAAGATATCATTCAAGTCCAAGCAAAGAAGAAAGCAAACTTGAATTATTATGCATAACTACACTCAAGGCAACGGAAAACCAGCAATGATGTTTGACTTTC